GGGGGGGTTGTAAAGGGGAAAGGATGAGTGTCCAGGGGAGCGTACTTTTAGCATCAATGAACACATCTCACGCTGTTTCTAGTCGCAATGATTCACACAAAACGAAATAGTTTGCTGATTTAATGGCAGGTCCGACTAGAGACTGCCATCCTCTCTATGTCAACACCTCATGCACCTGCCTGAGTTGTTTCTGCACGTCGTGTGTACAGGAAAGCTTCAATCTAACGTTCTCGGCTCGAAACATGCTCTTGGCTGGACATATAATGTTGACTTTCTGAGAACACAGAGTCGTCCCTTTTCGTATTTTTTTTCTCTTTAACATCAATGTTCTGAACATTCCTGCTTGAAATGTACATGGTGAGAGTAAAGAAAAACAACAAAACGCTAGTTATATAAAAAAACCCAACACATGCTCAGGAATGTAATTGGTAAAATCTGATACAATACAGTGAGAGGGCAAGTTAAAAAAAAAAAGTACTTACCTGTCAGTCTTACCCACATTTGATGCTTGCACCCCCCCCCCCCCCCCCCCCCACCCTCCCCCCCTTTCCTCTCTGTACCCTAAAAAGACAATGGAAGAAAAGACAACGTGTGTGCCTTTACTCGGTTCTGTCTATCCACCCCACCCCTATTTATTGTTTACCCTCATGGACAAAGAAAGAAAAGACAATGTGAGTGTCTTCGCAAGGTTTTTGTCTATCCATCCTCTCCCGCCCCCCACCCACCCCGCACATAAAGCCAGGTACCCGTGCTGTGAGCAGCGAAATTTTCTGCCAACTGAAAATGTGTGGTATGTTCCGCGCGCTTATATGACCTTTTGCAGTTGCGAGTCCCCCCCCCCTCCCCTTTCCCAAACCATTTCCCAAACCATGCTCCATTTGCTTGTTGTTAGTCTGTGCTGACTTTCAAAAGTAGAGATTCTCTTAATTAAGCTTTTTGTTCTGTATTAAAAAACATCGTTGTTTCAGTTGTTTGAATCGGAGAGGGTTTTTTTTAAAACAAAAGTTTCTTTTGAAAGTGAAAGCCTTTGGAAACAGTTGGGAAAGCTGTAAGCTAAATAAAGGCTCCCCTGTCATCATCATCCAGTGCCAGATCTGCGACAGACATCGACTATCATTGCTCTTTATTCATTCCTTCGCTCGGATGCTCTAAAAAAATATCCACATTATCCTTGTCTGTCCATGTCTCATATATCTGTTAAGGCTCAGTGGGTGGTTGGCGGGTGCTCTGGTGTTTAGCTCTCCAAGCAGACTGCGCTGGATGTACCCATCCCCCGCGCCTTCTTTGCCTTCACTTTTGCCAGCGAGAGCTAGATGTTCAAAGACCTTTGTGTCTGTTCAAGCGTCTCAGACCCTGCATTTATTATTTATTTATTGTCTTTTCCTTATTGTTTTTCTCGGCGAACGGCCTACGTGGGCGTCCCCCTTACCGTTAGTTTTGTTCAACACTTCGCACAGTAACCCTGGATGGGGGTCCGAGACTGTGGCTCTTTTTTTCTTCTTCGTCTCCTTCTTTCTTATCAAGCATCTGCTGTCGTCCTCATCTCTCCTCTTTTAAGAATTTTTTTTCCTAAAAAAAAAATCATAACACTCTCTTGTAACCATTTTAATCTGCGGCACTTATGTGACCTTCCCACCTGTTTGTGTTACAAGTGTGGCCGTGTGGCGTCTTTGCCCACGGAAATACTGGAGGGGATTCCCCGTCTGTAGGAGATTTCGTCGGCCGGCTGGTCAGTTGTGACCGCCCACATTAGAAGAAGAAGAAGAAGAAAAGAAGAAAGAGAAGGAGAAGGAGAAGGAGAAGGAGAAGAAGAAGAAGAAGAAGAAGAAGAAGAAGAAGA